GCGCCGAGGAGGCGCCAGCCTTGAAGTGGACGGAGAAGAGATCAAACATGGGAAAAGTAGGGATGGGCGTGGGAATGTTGGAACGAGGGCAGAGAAATTGGCAGGGAGCATTTCTCCAAATATGCTTACCCTATAGGAGTCCCACCTCATCATAAGTAAATGGTCTTTAGGACCCCCCGCACCCTTTCCAATGGCACCCCCCCTTGTTCTAATGGCCCCCCCCCCTTTTTCCAATGGCACTTGCTTGCTTGTTTTCGCGTGCTTGCTCTCGCTTGCTTGCCCTTGCTTGCTTGTGCTTGATCGCTGGCTCTTGTCTGCTTCTTATTGCTCGCTTGCGCTTGCTTGCTTCTGCTTGCTTCCGCTTGCTTGCTTGCGCTTGCTTGATTTGCTCCTCCCGTTCTCCTCCAGTCCTGGTCCCGTCCTCCTTTCGTCCTCCTCCCATCCTCCTCTCGTCCCCCTCCTGTCCTCAGATCTATTTGGAATCAACGCTGGCTGATATTGGGGGTGGGAACCAGAAGACTTGGAAAAAGCGCATGAAACTAGAAATTGGGAGGTTGTGAGACAACACATGTTGCACAGAAAATAGACGCGCCCCGTGATAAATAGACACGAGACTGAATAGACACGAAAAAGCGCATTTTGACAAACATAGGCACAAATAGACACGTTGAGAATAAACACTTCTGCCAAACATAAACACACTAGTGATTAGACACGAATATACATGGAATAGACATATAAAAAAGGGCCCACGCTTGGGCTGGGGTTAAGTTTCTTAAAACAGAGACACAAAAACCATGCCGAATTCATTCTTATAGAAACTCGCAACCGTATGAAACACTCGGAGAAAACGAGTCTAGGTTCTATTCCTCTGGTGGTCTGTAGGCCAGGGTATTTTCGATCGAAATAGTTCCATGGAGCAATTCCATGGAACTGTTCCGCTTCCGGTTCCGGTTCGGGTTGGGCCGGGGTGCGTAATGCCTCAACGCGCCTGTATTCAATCTCCGAGGGGATGACCTGGCACCCTCTCACGTCTACGGAGAATTCCGGACCAGCATCGAGAAGCGCTTCCTGAAGAACCACATCGTGGAGACCAAGATTCCTGGTCACGCCATGTCGCTCCTCCATGCATGGGATCTGCGCTTCGCGGCGTTCAAGTCACAGTACGAGGAGAACAATGGCTACAGAAATTGGTCTCTCCAAGGACCTGCGCAAGCGGGACGACGTCAGCCAGAAGGTCACATTGAAGCTCGTCTGCAAGGCATTGGCGAAGACGTGGGAGCGGTTCCCGAATGAGCGGATCATGGCTGGCTTCGTGCGCAGCAAGCTCATGAGTTAGGCGGATGGCGCCAAAGCTCTGCGAGTGACCGCAGAGGAGCTTCAGGCAAAGGATGCCGAGCTCAAGGCCGCCGTGAGGCGCGCAGTGGCCGAGAAAGGCGCGACTGCCGACAAGCGCATACGGCAGGTTCGCGTCGTGTCGACCCCGGCGTTGGTTTCCGACACCGCGGGGATCGTTCAACCTTGAACGATCGGCCGTTTCTGAAACGTCCAAATCGTTCCACATCGAACGATTCTGGGTCGCCCGCGGCGTTCAAGGTGGAACGCCGCTGGCGGGGTCGCCGCCGGTCGACACGACACGAACCTACCGTACCCACGGAGGTGCGGCTCGAGCGCGCCTGGGGGCGCAAGGGAGCCCGCAGGGCGGCACCAGATCGGCAGTTCGGTGGGGGACGTGCCTCACGGCTGCTGGCCTGGCGATTCCGCGCCAGGATGGCCGGCAGGGGCGCGCGGGTGGAAAGCTCCGGAGGCCACCTGCCTACCTCCTACCTCCCACCAGTGACGACGACGACGACGACAATGATGATGACGATGACGATGTTGATGATGATGATGATGATGATGATGATGATGATGATGATGATGATGATGATGATGCTGATGCTGATTCTGATTATGATTATGATTATGATTATGATTATGATTATGATTACGATTATCATTAGTTTATGATTATGACTATGATTATGATTATGATTATGATTATGATTATGATTGTGATTATGATTATGATTAAGATTATGATTATTATAATTATTATGATGATGATGATGATGATGATGATGATGATGATGGTGATGATGTGGATGATGATGAGGATGATGCTGATAATGAATGATGCTATGACCTCGAGCGGGCACGAAAACATAAACAAAGTACATGCGGGAGGGTTTCTTCGGCCGCGTGGAGAAGCGCTGGGGGCCTCCGATCCCTCAGACGGAGGCCCGTGGACCACTCCGTGGCATTCTGGGACTTTCGGGGCCCCTCTTGATGGGATTCTGGACCCCAAGAGCCTTCCAGGAGCCCCGCGGTAGAGCATCCGAAACGGCCGTTACGGATGCTCTACCGTGGGAGGCCCAAGAGGACGCCAGGAGGGCCTTCAGAGGGCCCAAGGAGGACCCAGGAGGGCCCCAAGAGGGCTCCAAGAGGGCCCTGGGAGTCT